CAGCCCACTTGAAAGACATCTTTTTTGTTTCTTATTAATTCACCTGCACATACTACACTGACTGCTATTTCTGCCAAAAATCCTTCATTGTTAAATGTCTTGCAAATACAACATGCCGGCACTTAACAACAAGTGGTAAAATGGGAACACTAGTTGGACAGTTTTAAAAAGTGATAAGCAAATTGAAGAATGCAGAAATTGTTAAAATGATTATTAACAATTTAGCTTTTTTGGATACTAAATTATAAGCAAAGACAATTGCTAAAATAATCTTGTGTTATGCAAGGAAACAAAAGGAAGTGTGAAATCCATTTATGTAGAAACACTGAATTCATTAAATACGGTTTGCTCTTTTTTGCAATGGAAAACATTCTTTTGCAGAGCACTGCTGGTGCAATTTTAGTTTCTCCTTTTGGGAATTAGATCTGTATTTGCAGTGAATTCTATTTTGACATAATCCCATTCCTGTCTCTGGACTCTATAATATTTTTGTACAGAGGTATTTCAGAAACAAGAGGTTAGAGTATTATAACAGAACAACATTAACAATCACCTATAAATAAAAGTGTTGTAAGATTAGGCTGTTTTCCATTTAAGAATAGTTGCTACCTGCTTTCTGTTGTTAATCATGTTCTAAATTTTGTTGAGCTATTTTGAGATGTTTAGATTCCTGGTGTCAACAAAAAATAATTAAAATATAAATTCCTTTCCCTCATGTGACAGAGTTTAGGAATTTATCTTCAGAGGCCTGGCATTTAATTACAACCAAGAAAGATTATAATTTTAAATAAAGCTTGGTGGATTTTTTTTTTTTTTTCTTTTGTACTGTGGCCAATTTCATAAAAGAAACTGGGTTTAAAATAAAGTATTTTGTTTCTACTTGCAGTGCATGATTTTACTAGGTACAGTTGTTGATTGCTTTCAAGTTGATTCTGTTTCATAGCCTTCCTCTATAGCGTTTCTGAGGAGTGGCAGGTGAGTTTGAACCACTGATTATGTGGTTCAAACTGACTTTATGGTTCAGTGCTTACTCTACAGCATCACACCAAGACTCCACTATGTATTAAAAGGTATAAAAAATACGGAATTCCAGGAAGTAAATAGGAATCTTTCCATTTGTTTAGGATAATAGTGCTTTGTAAGGCTTTTTATTATGATTGAATGCAGCATTTTGTCATTCATTACATTTAATGGCTAAAAGAGTCAGTGACATAGCCACAGAGGACTAGCGTGGAGAGTGAAGCGACCAGCTGATAGGAAGAGAGGGCATATGCACAAGAACACCCATACTTGCATATAATACCCACTTGACGTGGCTTCAATGACTGGATGATCAGAGCTCAACCAGAAGAAGAAAGAAGAGGGAAAAAAGAGTAATCTGATACACTTTGATGAACTTGACCTACACCTATGGATGCAGTAACTCAAAAGAGGGAACAAATCTTTACAGCAAGGATCATTCCCACACAAGAGTAGACAGGGATGGGCAACTTGGACATTAGCTACCCAAAAAGGGGGTGGGCTACAAAGGCATGAAGTGACTGGTTTACAAGCTTCCAAGAGGGAGCCTAGATTCAGAGGGTATGGAGGAAGGTAGAATCGCCACTGAGTAGTATCCCTGTCTTATCAGGGCTGATGAAAGGAGATGGGGATAGGTCCCTTGTGGTACAGTGGTGAATAATTGTTATCAGGACTGTCTGTGAGCATTGGAAATGTAAAGTTAGACGTTACATGTTAACGTAAATTAAATGTAAAGCAAAAGGAGGGGAGTGGTTGACTTTGCAGTCCAGGAGTGGAGGTCCCTGGAACTATCAAGAGATAAGAGCGGAATATGGGACCCTACCCAGAGAAACAGTGACGCCAGAAATGGAGGCAGAGATGATGATATGGATATATTGAGCAGCTGGGCACTCTAGACCCAGAGAGGGAGAGGGACTGTGTGCTGACGACTGGGGGGCAGGCTTGCAGGGTATATATACCCTTTGGTTGTTTGACAATGCATGCAATGAAACAATATATGATAGGATGAATGTAAAACAAATGTTCTCCCATGCAAACCATCACATAATTCACAATAAAACATTTTAAAAAAAGAATCAGTGTTGTAACCAAGTAATGTAACACAATTTATTGTTTCAGAAAAGTAGTGAAACTGTATTAGCAGATGGTAGATTGGATAGAATTTAGGATGGAGGGTCAGAGAAAAAGAGGAAGACTCCCAGTGAGATGTATTGGCCAAGTGGCAGCATCGATGGACTCAAGTGTGGCAACAGTAGTGAGGTTGGCCCAGGATCAGGCAGTGTTTCGTTCTGCTGTGCATACAGTCGCTATGAGTCAGTATTGACTTGGTAGCACGTAACAACAACAGCAGCATCCCCATGTAGTACACATTGATGTGTTCAAACCTACCAGCTGCTCCTTAGAAACCCTATACAGGGTCACTGTGAATTTGAACCAACTCTATGGCACTTAACAACAACAACAAAAAATCTGAGCTTAATCAATTATAGACTTTAACTGTCCTAGGGGAAATTTACAACTTATAGTAGTGAAAAAAGATTTTGTTCAATTTACATAGCAAAGAGAGGAACTAAGGTTGGAAATGGACTGGCATATCATCAGAACAGACTCTGTCCAAGCCCAAAGAACATTACAGAACCTACAGTATATTAAGGTTAATAATCATTGTTGTTTTATGCCATCGAGTCAATTCCAACTCATAGTGACCCTGTATAGGGCTTCTGAGAGAAACTGGTGGATTTGAACTGCTGATCTTACAGTTTCCAGTTCAGTGCTTGTCCTAACATGCTACACCAGGGCTCAAAAAGCCTGTTGTTTTGGTTAGGTGCCGTGGAGTAGGTTCCGACACAACACAATGAAACATTGCCTGGTCTTAGTCCATCCTCACAATCATTGTTACGCTTGAACCCATTACTGCTACCACAGTGTCAATCCATTTTGCTGGGGGTCTTCTTCTTTTCCACTGGACCGCCACTTTACCTAGTATGATGTTCTTCTCCAGGGACTGGTCCCTTCTGATGTATGTCTGAAATAGGAGAGACAAAGTCTCGCCATCCTGGTTTCTGAGGAGTATTCTGGCTGCATTTTTTCCATCACAGATTTGTTTATTCTTTTGGTGGTCCATGGTACTTTTAATAATAGTGAAGAGGAGAGTCCTGATATAGCACTGTAGGATAAGCACTGGAGTGCTAACCACAAGGTTGGCAGTTTAAACTCACCAGACACTTCTTGGAAACCCTGTACAAAGTCTCTGTGAAGCAGAGCCAACTCCATGGCACTTAACCACAACAACAGGCTAGGAAAAGGGAAAGAAGAGAGAATAACTGCTCTTCATCTTGCCAAGAGCTAGAGCTGCCTGGGCTGAATTCCTTCAACCCTTTTTGAGAACACCTCTGAAGTTTTACCTTTCCTAAGTGCAAAATATCCCTTTCTGTGCTCCTGGAATTCTCACTAACTGTGTCAGAAGTCTGTTCATGTCCTGAAGGTGGCATTTGATGGTAAGACTCAAAGATGGAGTTAGAACCTGGACTTCAGGCTTTTACATTTCAGGTTCTAATGCATACCAAATGTACATTCCATGTGTGTATGTAGAAATTTTAAGGGTACATTTAAAGATGAATGTATCTTGTTAACCAAAAGGGACTGAGACCTTTCTACCTCTCAGCTAGATTATTCCCATGGGAAACCTAGTGGGTTTGAATTTGTTCTCTAACCTTTTCTTCTGAGGTGTGTGTGTGTGTCAGGGGCTCTGTATGTATCTTTTAGAAGTTAATTAAGCCTCTTGTTGGCTTTACAACCCAGGTAGGTGTTTTAAGGGTTTGGGAGTTATGCCTTTGAAATGGAAACTTCTAGGAAGCCAACACCCTTGGGTCTCCCATTCACTGGGGAATTTAACCTAAGTACCTTTCCTCCACAGTGTAATCATCTGCTTGTCACAGGGATAAGAAAAATTATATTACTCCTTTTGTTTCTGGATAAAGTCAGTCAGCTGAAACAAAAAGACTACCTTGGTTCTGAGGGTGAACTGTGAAAGGGTGTCCATCAAAGGCATCTGTCAAGCCCTCTCACCCTGAGGACAGACGTTAGGGATTGCAGCCCAGCATTTTATCTGTGTAATCACCTTTTCACAGATTACCTATAATATTATACTCTGAATATGCTTATTCAATAATAAAACTGCTTTCTTTTCTACATTTTGGGGAGAGGACTCCCCCCTCCCACCTGAGCTCAACTCATCCCCACCCCTCAGTTAGGGTACACAGAGGAGCAAGATTTGATCCATGGCCCTGTGAAGCTTATATTTAAAACAGCCTCACAAATAGCTTCGCACAAGACAAAGGGAGTCCCATCAGAAAAGACAAAGAGCACTGGGGCTACAGAGGAGCTTTTGATGAGGACAGGAGAGAAGGCTTCCTTAAACATGTACCGTTGGAGCTAGGCCTGGAAGGGGAGGGGTAGAGTATCGACACAGGTGAAGTGACAGGTTTCTCAAACAGTTGGGGCAAGAGGAGTGAAGCCTCAGAGGCAGATGAATGGGGAATACTGAGTGAGGAAGCTGAGGGAAAGGGAGGCAGCTGGCAACACAGAGGGCTTTGCCATTCCCCGAGGAGCCTAATGTTTTCTCTAGATCATTGGGAATCTAGAGATTTGCTTGATTATTTATTCATTCACTTTTAAGTGACGTTAGTGACAGGAAGAGAGCTGGTTTTCATAATGTGGAGAATGGATTGAGAGGGTTAAGACTGAAGAAGAAACTATTTTGTATGCCTTTGCCGTAGTTCAGATTAAAGGTAGTGAGGGTTTGTTACAATAGAGTGCTTGAGCATTGAGATATGCTTGAGATCCTCAAATTTTTCATGGTCCCATTCTAGGCCACATTTAGATTTTATTTCCCATTGAGAAGAAGTGAGATATATTTTGAATAATAAGATGACTAACCAACAGATGATAGACATCTTTGATTTTGTGTTTTCCTGTAGCTGCTAGGTGAACTGATCCTGGACCGACACAACTTTGCCATTATGACCAAGTACATCAGCAAACCCGAGAACCTGAAACTGATGATGAACCTTCTTCGAGATAAAAGCCCCAACATTCAGTTTGAGGCCTTTCATGTCTTTAAGGTAAAATGAAAGCTAGAGAAAGAAGGTTTGTTTTTGGTTTTTTCTAGTTTCAAGCAATAACATTTTACTAAGACCTTTTCTTTATACTTGAGAAATAAATAAAATTGTGTTGTGTGGTTTAGTTGAAATTTTAAAGGTATTTCATTGTATAGCTAAAGAGTTTGCTAACTGACCCACATCTTTAAATATTTTCATTTTTCTCACTGAGAAAATAGGTGATACTATTTCCTCAAAAGTTGCTAAAAACAATCATTGATGAAACTAGAAACCAAACCTGTGTGTCTGATTCAGAATCCTTAGCTTCCCGCCAGTCACCCTCTGAACGTTAAACAAAGCACTGCAAAGAGCACTTTGGTACTATTTTTATTATTTATTTAGAAATACATTTGTAAAAAAACATGTTTTGCTACAACACCGTATTTTTTTCTTTGTAACATTTTTCGTTACTATAAGAGGAATAAAATCATCTTCCAAGAACCTGAGAAAGTAGATAAAAAGGGGATTAAAATGTGCGGCAGAGCGGAGATAGTAACCTCCATGTCCTAACTGAACTAATGTGACCATCTTAGTAAATTTTCTTAGCCTGTGCACTTGTTTCAGAGTTTCCTCCACAGCTTAACTTGTATTTACACTGTATGAACAATTGATATCCTAATTCTAATCACGTAATGCTATACCATGGTGGTGGAGGTGGTGGTGGTATGCTGTCGAATTGGGTCTGACTCTCATATTGACCCTGTATAGGGCTTCCGAGACTGTAAATCTTTACAGGAACAGAAAGCTTCATCTTTCTCCCATGGAGCAGCTGGTGGATTTGAACTGCTGACCTTGTAGTTAACAGTCCAACCTGTAGCCCGTTATGTTACCAGGGTTCCTTAATGTTGTACCCCAAGTGAACATTTTCATTGCTGTGTTGTATCGTTTTCAGAGTGAGTGGGGATGTTGAAAACGTACACAGCTGTCAGTACAGCAATGCAGGGATGTTGGTTATATTTTTCGAGTTCTGCAGCCTTTCTCTCTCTCCTTCTACAATTTGTTCTTCCTGTACTGACATAATCTCCTCTCCCCCTAAGCTTCCTGTCTAATCTTTCCAGTTGCTGTTTGCTGTTGATTTGATCCCATATTCTCACAGAAAATTATTTAAAGAGCACAGTGGAGAGCCAACAATTTTACTGGCATCCTTGTCCAGCCTGGTTGACTTAAGTATTCCTATGTCATTGAAACTTGGGTCATTTGCTTGTCCCCACAGTAAGTGATGCTGTAATGAGCTCTTTATGCATCCAGCTAGCGTTTCCATTTCTAGGATTATTTCTTAGAATAAATGGAATTAAGGGTTCAAAGAGCCTCCAGGTTTTATGGTCTTTGTAATTTATATTCAAGGGTCAAATTTCAAGTCTATAGAATGAGAGATGTGGTCATTGATAAAAGTATGTGATCCTTACTTTGAGAGGTAAAAAAATATAATAGATCTTTGAGCCATCAGATCTTTATTACCCCAGAAGTCACTAAAACAATACAGTTTCTAAATTATAAATTCCATTCAAAATCTCAAAAGGGTTCTCCTGGGAACTTGAAAAGCTGATTGTAAAATTGATATGGTACCTTTATCACCACTCCTGTTCAATATTGTGTGGGAAAAGTCTATGGAACAATTCTGCTCTGACATACATGGGCTCACCATGAGTCAGAATTGAGTCATTGGCAAAGGATTTCCACAGTCCTGTTCCTACGAATGGCTCGTTGTGGGAGAATCTCATGACACTGGTGCTGATGTCAGTGTTGAAAGCTATAGTTTCTAATTGTTTGTGTTTGGTACAATAATAGCCCCTGACTGCAAGCCAACTTAAATAAATAAATAAATAAATAAATAATGCAGTAGAACCTAGGATTATCTATGACAGATTTAAAGACTATAAAGTAGGGGAACCTACTCTACCAGATATTAAGACTGAATGAAAAGGAGCCCTGGTGGTGCATCGGTGGTGCTTGGCTGATAACCAAAAGGTCACCAGTTTGAACCCACCCAGCCTCTCTGTGGAAGGAAGACCTGGCCATCTGCTCTCGTAGATAAACAACCTAAGGAGAAAATGTGGAGCAAAACTCAAAATTATAGAGAAAGAAAGAGCCTGGTCTCGAACAGAACTCACCCTCATGGCTCAGTTTTCAGCCAAGCAGTAGATAAGTATATTGGAGGGACACCAACTCTAGTAAGATATGCTCACCAATGGAGGAATGGCCAATCATTCAAGATCAGAAGGGCAACATTTACCTGAGGACAAAGTTGAGAAGGGATGGGAAAGATGGTAGAATACAAATTGGAACCCCAAGGAGGAAGTGGGATACTGTTGTTGCATGGAGGAAATTGTAATCAGTGAGATGAAACCAACTGTGTGATTTGTTGAATGTAATACTGATGATCTTGGTTGTAAACCTTCACTCAATTCACCATAAAAAGTTTTTTAAAAATACAGCCTAGAAAACCCAGTGAGTTCTACTCTGCCACATAGGCACTCTATGAATCAGAATCTGCTCAACAACACCTACACTAACAGCAGTAAATGAAGACAGGACTGTATTGGCACAGAAATAGATAAATAGAACAACAAAACAAAATAAAGGAACCCAGAAATAAACCTATAAAAATTTGGAACCTGGTACTTTTTCTGGAGGCATTATGAATCACTGAAGAAATGGTTAACTGGACAATAAATGGTTGTGGTGGTGGTAGCTGTGTACCGTGGAGTTGGTTCCGACTCATAGTGACCCTGTACAGGGTTTCCGAGGCTGTAAATCTTTACGTGAGCAGAACGCCTCATCTTTCTCCCGCAGAACAGATAGTTTCAAGCTGCTGACCTTGCGGTTTACAGCCCGATTCATAACCACTACGCTACCAGAGCTCCTTATAAATGGTTGTAGAGTATCCATATGTGAAATGCTGTCCTCCACTATACACAGAATAAAGCCCAGGTAAAGAGTCTCCAGTTAAAAAGTAAGCATTTTTAACTTTTAAAACAGAAAATTGTTGTTGTTGTTAAGTGCTTTCAAGTCGGTTCCAACTCACAGTGACCCAAGGAGCAGCTGGAGGATTTGAACTTCCAACCTCGCAGTTCAAACCGACCTTGTACAGATCCAGTGCTTTTCCTACAGAGTCACAGCAGGAAAGTAGGAGAGTGTACTTATAAAGTTGGGGTGTGTCAGGTTAGAATTATTTCATAATAAAAAAAATGAACTCAAACTGGATGAAACGAAAAGTAGAGTGCTATTGGACTGTAAAATGCGTACGCACTTTCAAATGATCAACCCTCTAGAGAGCAGAGCATTCAGATGAAGAAAGCATTCTAAAGGTGTTATGCAAACTGTGTGCTGGTCGTGACTTTCAACTCACACAATTTACTATCTCATCATATACCGAAGCACATTTCATAGATTTTATTTTAAAATGCAGTATTGTAGAAGGATCCAGTGAGTGGTAAAATAAAAAGAACGTAATTCTACCTCTGAGCAGATCAGAATTTAGATCACCTAATGTAGGATCAACACTGGACTGCGAACCACATGGTTGGTAGTTCAAACCCACCATCTGCTCCTCAGAAACCGTGACACTTAACAACAACAATTATTGGACAAAGAGCCTCAGTGGCACAGTGGTTACAAGTGTTTAACTGCGAGCTGAAAGGTTGGTAGTTCGAGCCCACCAGTCATTCTGGGGGAGAAGGATGAGGCAGTCTGCTTTTGTAAAGATTACAGACTTGGAAACCCTATCAGGCCGTTCTCCTCTGTCCTACAGGGCGCTTTGAGTTGGGATCTACTAAACAGCAACAAGTTTGGTTTTAATTATTGGGGCAGACTAGGGACATTTAAAAATAGTTGACCACTTGTTTACTTGTATGTGTATAAATTGGGCCTTCCTTGTACTTTATGTTCCTTCTACCAAAGTAGGAACTAAATTGTTTACTTGCCATAAATAGTATTTTGTTACCTAGAAACAACTAACAGCTGAGTCCTAGGATTTTTTTCACAGTTCTGTCTTAATAGTTTCCCCCCCAAAGCACCTTCCAGGAGGTATAGAAAAGGCACAGCACATTACTAAAATTGTCTTTGTCAAATTGTTAATGGCTCATTTTTCAGCTTGTTGATAACTTCATAGACTTAATGAGATGCATTTTCAAATGCTTTCTACTCTTAATAGCAGGATGGTGTGGCTAGAAAGCAAAGGATATGAAGTCAAGGGACCTGGGTCTTTGTTCTGGCTCACTTGCCAGCAGAGACCTGGGCAAAGCTGGGTCCATTTCCTCATTGCAGATTAAAAGCTTTAAAGTACTAGATTCATGCAACCTTTTGTCTTGATGATCCTGACTATCCCAGAGACATGATCAGTATGAATTTGGAATCAACTATTAGCTGATCTCATTTTCCTTTTCCAGCTAGCCTTCTTAATAGTAAAAGGCCCATGCGGCCACTTCCCACTACACTGTGTCAGGGATGGTCAGTGCCATTTGACGCACCTCTCAAAACTGCTGGTACTCAAGCTAGGCCACTGCCAAAAATGACCCTGCGCATACTACTCTGTTACTCAAGGTGTTAGCAGCTGGCAACAATAGCTGTATCCATGGAAACAAAAGGCTGCCACCCTAGCTTATTCCAAAATAAAAAATTCAGGTTGACAATTGAGCTAAAAAAAAGTGCACACAACAAGAAAATACTAAATGAGAGCAGTTTCCGTATGGTCTGATTGAGAAGAAGGCAGAATTTCAGAATAATGTAGTGAGACACTAAACACGACTTACCTACTTTCCTAAGAACCCATTTGCTAGTAGACCAGCTGCGTCAGTTATGGCTTATTAAGTGGAAGCCTGCTGCTGCAGAAAGGGACTGAGACCAAGTGCATATAGGAAGCAGCTAGAAGCTGACTGTCCCTTTTGTTCCATACTGGCTTCCTTAATAATTTTTCCAAAGGTTTTAATGAAACATGGAAAAAGTGTTTTAATCAACTGACAACT